GTGGGGAGATGAGGCTGGGTCCACACGAGGGTTTTAGGACAGGGGGGAACGACTGGGGAAGCAGTGGAGAGACTGGTAATGTAAACACACTCTTGGAATCCTCGCAGCTCTGTGATTTTGTCAAAAATCGTCTCTCCCGTTTCCCACCTGGGCTCAGGGGCATGGTTCTTCCTGGAAGTCTCTCCAAGAGCTGGAACTCCCTGTTGCTTGGGAATGGCTGGTGTCCACGCAAGCCCACTGGTGGGATGTCCTAGATGTAGGTGTGGGCGGGGCATTCATCCTGGGCTGGTGACCAGAGCGCTTGCCCAGCCCTCCCCATTGCTTGGGCTCCCACAGTTTGAAGGCGTCTCTGAGTTCAAGTCCCAACAACAGGTGTGCCAGGACGCTCACAAGGAGCTCCAGACTCCTATGGCCTGACCTTGGTCCTTGGTGAGACTCTGCTCCTGCAGGTATTTGGAGCCTGTCACCAGGGATGGCCCAGGGACCCGGAGACGGGCTGAGGCCCTACCTCATGATGGGGAGAGCCAAGGTCACTGAGCAGAGGGGCGTGTGGGGTGAAGACAAGGCTGGGGCCGTCTTTGGAACATGCAGTCTGCCACAGTCGGTCTCTGAACATCCCTTAGAAAGGACTCCTTGTGACTGTCATCTTGCTTCACCATGCCAGGCTTGCTCAGCCTGCTGTCCACACTGTCCTGGGAGTTCAGACCAAGACTCTGAGAACATGTGCAGGTGCCGATGTGAGGGAAACCAGGAAGAGCTGGCTGATGTGTGAACTTCAGATATTAGAAGCTTGTGTACTTTTCAAAGTTATGTATATTTTTTAAACTTGTGAAAAGTTCCAAAGTGCATCTTGGGAGTTTTCAGAATGGTTGTGTTTTCTAAGTTTGTCTCCCTTTAGACTGAGCAGCTTTTCACCAGCACTGCCTTCAAGGTCATTTGAATGAGTAAGCTGGAGTCAGTGGAGGGCAGTGCTGGGTGGGGCACAGACGTGCCCTCCCTCAGCTGCCCAGGAGCAAGCCAGCCTTGGGTCAGAGAGGCTTCTGGAAGTTCTCTGGGGCTTCAGCAGTGTGCCATGGCTACCATGCCTCTAGGGTCTTCAGAGTGCAAGGACCAGAGGGGCTCAGGCGGAGGGGATCCCCTCAATCCTTCACACCAGACAGAAGTGCTGGCCAAAGTCACGGTGCCAAGATCAACAGCACACAAAACAGAAAGGGCCACACGTCAATTATTGCACAGTGTCCCCCGGCACCTGGTGGTACAATTATAGCCAGAATTAGGTTTCTGCCTTTCCCCTGTCACCGAAGAGGACACCAGTGCCCTCAAAAGATTCGGTATGTTAGTAAGCTGTGTGTTACAAACTAGGTGGAGAATGTTCTATTCCACTTGATGAGATACTCCTAATGGACGGTGTTGGTCACAGGACATGGTGACTGCAGTTCAGATGCTTCCCCTGCAGGAGAGGGAGAACCAGGGACTGACTTAAAGGGAAGGGGAAAGGGCAGGCTTTGAAGGTTAAATTAGAGGGGTGGGAGGCAGATTTGCTTCTGGGGTCAAGGGCTTATCTGTAACACTACATGGCATCAGGGAGACATCCAGTGACCCCATTTCTTCCTGCCTGGTGGGCAGCTCTGGGAATGAGTGACTGTGTCACAAGAGAACATCTTCAGCCTCTGCGCTGACTGGGTCACAATTCAGGGGAATTACTGGCAGGCTCCCCCAGCCCTTTCCCTCCCCTGCAGGGCTTTGTGTCTGAACCTATTGGAATTTGCGGATGAGAAGCTAGAATAAGGACAGCGTCAAGTTCTACAGAGCACTGGGCAGGGGGAGGAGTCCATAGGTGACAAGTACCTGCACAGATTATGTTAAATGTGAATGGAATGGCCTCCCTGTGACATACCAAAGACATCAAAGGGAATATCTATAGTGGAATATAATGTGTTGCAGTGTATAAATGCTGGGGCCCAGGGCATGAGGGTTGTAGTGAAATTGGCAGGTATGGGGGCCCGTGCACAGTCACTATGAAGTGCCTGCAGACACCTGTGCATCCTGGAGTGCTGGGATGGCACGCGGACACTGCAACAGCATGCTGACCTGATTTTCATAAGGGCAGCGACAGAATAAGACATGGGTAACATCGCTGACCAGATTACCACTTCCAGGTGTAAAATAAGTAAGTCCCAGGATGTACTGTACAGGATGGGACCACAGTTCATTACACTCTATTGCATATTTGAAAGTTCCTAAGGGAGTAGCTCTTAAAAGTTCTTATCACAAAAATCACAGACCAGGCAGGAGTTCTGAACCTGGAGCAAAATTTAAAATCTGCTAAGGGCGTTGCTTTTTTTGTAACACACCTTCTGTCACCTGTGTTCAGGATAAGCACTGAGAACCCTTCCTCCAGTAGCTGTGACCCTCACAGAACCTCCAGGCTGGAATCAAACTGCAATTGTTGGGCCCCTTGCGGTCTGGGAAAACCACCCTAGAGGGATCTGTCAAGTGTGGGCTGCTGAGAAGATTCCTCAGAAAACACTGGCCCAGACTCTCCTCTGCCAACTCCACCATGTTCCTGCCCTCACCCTGTCATCCAAGCCAATAGGTAGGTGCCTCATTCTTGGTTCCTGTCTCTCAACTCCGTGCTTGCTTTGTGCTGTCTCCTGTCACAGTCTAGGAGGAGTGCTGGCTTTGTTTTGGTTGCTTGGCTCATGTCACCTGGGTCCCCATACCTTGGTGACCTTAGGTATGGTCAGCCTGGCTGTGGGTCCTGTGTCTACCCCCTTCCTGGCCTGAACTTGCAGATGTCCCAGCAATAGTAAGGACAGGCCTCACAGAAATCACGGTCAAATATCCAAAAGTGCAAATCACAAATGTCAAATTGCAGATGGTGTTGTGTTCTACTTGGGGAGCTACTTGGGGGGCTGGGAAGGGTTCAGTCCTTGAAGACACAACGAGTTTGGATGAGCATAGCTTCCAGATTGCACAGACCAACATTGGGCGCAGGATGGTACCTCCTCTTAGGCTTTCTTCTTGGAATCTAAGCACACCCAGTGACTGGAGAGCAAAGACCAGGGCAGTTGGGTTCCTGTGGAATCCCGTTCCTATGCATCTCAAAGTTGATTCTCTTGGAATGAATGCTCTGTAATGAGGTTTCAAGTTGGGATTGTCCACTCACACGGAGCCTCATTGTAGACAAGTTTTGCTACATTCCTCTACTGTCAGCAGACAGTTATGTGTGGATTCACACCCAAAACTGAGGGTTGCCTGTCCTTCCTCAGGGAGAGCCACCTGAGATGAGCATGTGGAAATTGTGTCATTGGGATGTTGTTTCTGCTGAATCACACGGAGCAAGGGAATTACATCTGGGAAAATAAGAATATAGCCTAGTATTGATTTCAATTTATGACTCAAAATGACTTGTGTACACGATATCACATAGTGTCATATCTGTAGCCACATCAAAAATGATGGTATTATAGATGATGTTTCTATGTGATCCCTCTCTCCATGAGAAAGCACATCTGGGTTGAATTTGTCGGGAACGGGGGACAGTTTACTGAGGTTAACATGCCCTTTCCACTTATTTTTTGTGAACACAGAAGA